CATTTATTTATTTCATTTATTAATTTCATTTATTTATTTCATTTATTTATTTCATTTATTTATTTCATTTATTTATTGCATTTGTGCAGCGCGGTGGCACAACTGGTAGAGCTGCTGCCTCTCAGCGAGCAGGTCCCTGGTTCAAACCCCGGTCCAGGGGCCTTTCTGGGTGGAGTTTGCATGTTCTCTCCGTGCATGCGTGGGTTTTCTCCGGGTACTCCAGTTTTCTCCCACAGACCAAAAACATGCATGTTAGGCTGATTGGTAACTCTAAATTGTCCCTAGGTGAGAGTGAGAGAGTGAATGGTTGTTTGTCTCGTTTGTCTCTATGTGTCCCTGTGATGGACTGGAGACCCGTCCAGGGTGTCCCCTGCCCCTCCACAGTGATTGCTGGACATGGGCATCGGCGACCCCCGTGACCCAAAATGGAAGAAGCGGGTAAAGAAAATGGATGGATGGATATTTCATTTGTTTATTTATCTTCATGCTCTAGCGGTACGTTATCGTTGTGTTCCTCGACAGGTGAGTGACACCTGACAGTGAAAATCCAACTCACCACCTGTTGGACCCTCCTGCTGCCCTGGGGTCAAACCGCTCCACAGTTTGAGCCCAGGGCCGCAGGAGGGTCCACATTTCCTGTTGGTAGAAGAAGAACACTGAGGGACTCCTGTGTCCTGTTTGTTTGGATCTGGACTCGGAATTTATGAACGGAACCGGTTCAGCTCCCACTCTGAGACCAGGACCTGTTCTCTAGCTCTCCTTCCAGATCTACCAGCTGCTGCAGCTTGAAGGAAGTCTGAGTTCCCGTCACACCTGAGATACACCCAGGTGGAGCAGTGAGCAGCTTATGCGGGTGCCCGGGGAGAAATAAGGGATTGGGTGTCTTGCTCAGAGGCACCACGGCATACGGGAATGACTAGGAGTCAAACCGACTTTCTGGTCAGTTCAAAGGAACCGCCTCGCGCTGATTGGTCCAGATGAACCTGTTCTCGGAGCCTCCAGCTGTCAATCAGCAGAACCCCAGCAGCTGATTGGAGGGTCCGGGCAGGAGGCGGGTTCTGAAAGTCTTTATATGAGGTCTCTGCGCCTTGAGAGTCCACAATGTCTCTGGTCCTGGTCTGCTCCACGTGTCCTCCCTCAGCTGACTGGAACCCGAACCTGAGCCCAGACCACTGACAGGTTCCGGACTGGAGCTGGGCGGAGGAGGACCGGGGACCATGGAGTGCGCTGTGGACGCGCAGAGTCTGATCTCCATGTCCTTGATGAAGATCCACAAATCCAGGACCCAGAGGGGGGGCATGAAGCTGCACAAGAACCTGCTGGTCTCGTTCGTGCTCCAGAGCGCGCGCCAGGTCCACCTGAAGGACAGCTACGTCCAGATCTACAGGAGGCAGCACGAGGAGGTCCTGGCGGTCTGTAACGAGATCCAGGAGCTGGACCCGCTGGACCCGGACGAGGAGGCTCTGCCGGGCTCCGGGATGGACCCGGACCCCCCGGACTACCGGAGCTGCTGCATGGAGGCTCCGGTGTCCCACTGCAACAAGACCACCGTGCTGGACCTGGACACGCACGTGGTGACCACGGTGGACAACGGCTTCCTGCACCTGGACTGCTGCTGCGCACCCGGGATGGACCAGAACCCGGACCCGGCGGCTCGGAAACGGAAGGGGGACTTCAGCTGTTCGGAGGAGGTGGTCTCGGACTTAACGGGGCTTAAGCGGCTCAAACGAGAGGACTGTCCCGAGCCGAACCCGGACTACACGGACACGTCCAACATCTCCAACCTGATCTCCATCTTTGGGTCCGGGTTCTCGGGTCTGCTGAGCCGGCAGGCGGACCTGGAGCAGGTCTGCAGCAAGCAGGCTCTGGCAAGTCTGGGAGCCTGGACCCGGGCCATCGTGGCTTTCTAGGAGGAGGGGGACCGGACTCAGGATCCTGGAGCTAAGGTTCGGAACCAGCAGAACCCAGAGATCGGAAACTAACCCGGTTGCTTCATCAGGAGGACGTGGCAGCTGATCCCAGATCAGTTCTGTGGTTCTACTTGCCTCCACAACCCCAGTTTCCAGGGGCTCTAAATAAACTGGGTGCTCTTATTGACCCCCTTGACTCTGGAGGATTTGTCTGGTCTGGATTTTAAAACTCATCAAAATGAAAGACTTAAAAAAATTCAGATTTCAAATTAAAAGTTCGACTGAAAAATAAAAACCGGGATTCAGTTACTCTTTATTATTTTTATGATTTAAACAGATAAGTGAGGGCCCCATCAGACCCGCATCAGTTCTGATCAGGGCCCCATCAGGTCTGATCAGGACCCCCATCAGGTCTGATCAGGGCCCCATCAGGTCTGATCAGGGCCCCATCAGGTCTGA